TTTGTTTATATTGACTGACAATACAAATACAATATATAAAATAAATTGCCTAGATTACAATCGAATTGATATTGGACAAACGAAGCAATACATAAAAAACCGTATATATGAACACCAATATAATTTAAAAAATATAAACAAAACAAAAACAGCATTATCAGAACATGTATTAAATAACCACCATAATTTCAATTTCAATGAACATGAAATTTTGGACTGGGAAAGCAATTATAAAAATCGAATTATCAAAGAAATGATACACATAAAAAAACATCCAAACTCGTGTAAACTTCAGAACTTATACAGATAATTTAAGAAATAATTATAACAATTTCATAACATAAACCATATAATCTCAATTTCAAAGAACCAAAAATTTTGAACCAGGAAAGCAACTATAAAAATCGAATTATCAAAGAAATGATACACATAAAAAAANATACAGATAATTTAAGAAATAATTATAACAATTTCATAACATAAACCATAAATAATAATAATACAACAGATACAACTTTAACAAAATATATTATAAGACTTCAATTAAATATATATAGGAAAATCCAAAAGACCATAAACCAGATGGGGGTTAATGCTTTACCTAAACATTCAGAACTAGTATGCAGTTGTTAAACATGGTAGAATGTTTAAGAATAAGTTAATATCTGTGTACAAGCACTAACACTCCAAAAGGTATGTTCTTTGACTATTGATTATATTTATAATTTATAAACAAACGTATAACACCTAACTAGTAGAACTATAAATAAAAAACAAAATTTTTTCAGTATGAAGATGGTTACAAAAGGAAACGTTATAAAAACATATAGTTGTGTAATTATTTGACCACCACACTGGAAAAAACTACATAACTACAATTTACATTATAAAAGGATTACTGTGGAATTGTATAATGAATCAACCATTAACAAGTCCCAAAAATACTCTTAAGATATCTTTCTTACCTCTTAGTCTTATAACTCCTAACGTGTCCAAACAGAAGCCAATTACATGCCACAAGCTCATTCTTCAGCAAACCACTTCACTTTCCAGGAGAGGAAGTCATTTGCAAAACTTCTTGATACTAAACAGAGACAAAAGAATAACCACTTTAGCGTATTTTCCTCACAACAATGTTTGTTTTATTTGCAGATTATTTAGTTAAAGTTGCAATGCAATGTTTATTTTACTATCTATGATTTTGTATTGATTATTTGCAATAAGTAGTAGACTAAATAAACTACACTAAATCATCAAAAGTTAAAATATTTAAAATCTTACCCAAAGTAAGTCTCACAGGTTTCCCACTAGTGTGGAAGGTATTATAGGTAAAGGAAAACTTTTCACACCATTAATAATATAAGATCTTGGCATAGACCATTTTTATGCCCTTCGGTATTATTGTAAAGCCTGTACCAAAACAACAAATATTCCAGTTGGTATATTGTAACTATCAGTACGCATTCATTCTATAATAAATTAATACATCTTATTTTTAACTATACATAACCGTTTATACAGTCATCAGCAAGTACCAAACAAATTTATTTTCAATCATCTTACCTCTTGACAACAAGTTCCATTAAGATTTAGAAAGAATATGAAATGTCTCCCTAGGTTACTGCCACAGGACAACTTATTTAACATAGGCAAGACAAAAATCTATTCCTACGTGAATCTGTAAAAAGAAAAGAACAAATGAAAGTCGACACAAACTTTATAGAGCAAAAGAAAAAGGAAAATGAATGGAAACAGTAATTTTGTTAACAAAAACTTTTATTCCTAGACTATCAAATATGGCGGAGTAAATTGGTAACTTTATTAATGGAATCCTAAAAATAATCCGATATCCAATAATAAAAAAACATACAACAGATAAAACTGTAATTTTAGAATATATTATGGTAGAAATTTTGTATGTCCTATTACCTTTCCCAAATTCTTCGTATAAAAAATACCCATAAAATAGCACAATGCGAAACTACAAAACGAGACGAGAAGCAGCAGCAAACTGGTGAACAAGAAGGAAGTACGTCATCGATGAGATTACGTAATTCTTAATCTCGTCCAAGATAGTCATCCATCATAGATAATAGATCTACAAAGGGTAATCATCCAGGGGTCATCAAGGGGTCATCCATTTTATGCTTAATATGTATTGACAAGTAGTGGTTCGTTGTTGCATATGCCGGTTTAAAAAAATGCTATGACACAATTTAAATGAATCCACTGTGACTATTTATCACAATATTACTTAAAATGAGACATTATTGTAATTTAATAAACCCAAAGTTGGACTGGCGACGTGATCACGTGACAGTCTGAATGTTACCGAGGTTAATGCAAGGGAGCGCTGTACTGATATGTTCGGGCAACATTCTAGACTGGCGCCAAATATTTGAAATAATAAATTAGCTACACAATTAAAAAAGATTATTTATACACACTACCGGAATAAACCTAGTTTCTTAATCAGATCAATGCATCGATAGGCCGATCGGTACTTCAAAATTACATTTTTAAACAAATCAAAAATGTCTACGGAAACTACAATTTTTAATAGTTTTCGAAAACACACAGTAGTTTGCCACGCCGCAATTTGTATAGCAAAATGTAAACTACGTTTGAAACGTAAGAAAAAGCAGACATCAATACCTCCAACGTCATATTTTTTAAACCAAACAAAAATGACCGCCAAAGTTACAATTATAATCGCTTTCTCTCTCCGACATTTTTGACTCGTAAATTTAATTTTGAAGACCGACGGGGCGTTCGATGCATTGAAGTCTGTCCTTTCTCGTTGTACAAGCGGATTTTACATTTGACTACAAAAATGCATTGAACGACCTATAGGCTTACCAAAATTACACTTTATAAGAGTCAAAGACGTTCGCAAGTTACAATTATCGACGATTTCGAAAAACACACAGAAACACTGCAGTTCGTATTTTTGAAGTCAAATGTAAAATCCGCTTGAATAATTAAAAAGAGCAGACATCAATCTCTCGAACGCCCTATAGGCTTTTCAAAATTACATTTCTATACGAGTCGAAAATGCCCGCAAAAGATACAATTTTTGTAGATTTTGAAAAACATGCAGCACATTGTGACACTGCAATTCGCATTTTTGAGGTTAGATCTAAAATCCGCTTGCATCATAAAAAAGAGCAGACATTAATGCCTCGAACGCCCTATAGGGTTTTCAAAATTACATTTCTATACGAGTCGAAAATGCCCGCAAAAGATACAATTTTTATAGAATTTGAAAAACACGCAGCACATTGTGACACTGCAGTTCGCATTTTTGAAGTCAAATGTAAAATCCGCTTGCATTATTGAAAATGAGCAGACATCAATACCTCGAACGCCCTATAGGCTTTTCAAAATTACAATTCTATACGAGTCGAAAATGCTCGCAAAAGATACAATTTTTATAGAATTTGAAAAACACGCAGCACATTGTGACACTGCAGTTCGCATTTTTGAAGTCAAATGTAAAATCCGCATGCATCATTAAAAGGAGCAGACATCAATGCCTCGAGCGCCCTATAGGCTTTTCAAAATTACATTTTTATACGAGAGTCGAAAATGCCAGCAAAAGATACAATTTTTGTAGATTTTGAAAAACACACGGCACATTGTGCACTGCAGTTCTCATTTTTGAAGTCAGATTTAAAATCCGCTTGCAACATAAAAAAGAGCAGACTTCAATGCCTCGAACGGACAAACCAAATGTAAAACCCATCATGAAATTTTGTGTACACATAGTTAGGGCACCAGATATATGGTACCTTTTATCCAGAAAAAAAATACTCTGATGACTTTTATGTAGTCCTCAATGATTTT